GAACTCCCCATCGGATCTATCTGAACACGAGCAGTTGGGTCGACCGGGATATTATCGTGGTGTTTCATCTCGCTACCTACCGTTTATCACTGCAGCACTAACATTGGAATTCGCACTCATCTCTGAGAGTCGAATGCGACGTTTGGATCAAGGAAATTTAATCAAACTGACTGCAGTTGTTCTTATTGTTGAACACTCGTTAATCGCTTCCTATTGGGAGGATGGTCGGTTGTGCGCTGATGGGGCATATCAATTTACTCATGCGGAGCCGGATCCACAGTTGGTTTATCGGGCCACACAAATTTACAATGCACGGGCTGTACGTTTTGGATTAGACCAGTCGGTAACTCAACTTCTGCTAGCGACAAAACAATCGTGGTGGGAAACGGGGACGTACGTGCACCGATCCCGTCCGCACTTGGCACCCACCTACTTACGCGAGGCCATCCGGAGTTGTGGGTTAGACGAGTCATGTGATGAGCATTTGTCCATCGTGGACTGCATTGGACGATGGGCAAGCACCTTAAAAATATTGAGCCTGTTGGGAATCAGGACGAGGGATCATCTGTCTCTGTGGTCCGCGTCAAAACTACTGGTCTCAAACAAACTGCAACGAACCTTGTGTCCGGCAGGAAATCCTGTGCTATCTTTTTGCATGATAACGTTCCACATAGTGGAGAACTCTGTCGTATGGGGAACAGATGAATTAGTGGACATTGTGCGACGAACATTCGCTGTGCATAATCATATATGTGGAGCACGATCCGCAGCCTATCATGCATCCGCAGCTTACCTTACCGGAGAGACAGAAGACATGCACGAGCTAGCTCCACCGGGGTCACTGCTGTTGGCAGTACATTTGATTCAGCGGTGCTTGCCGGAGAATAAATGCTTGAATGTTCGAAGTTTCAGTTGGTTCCAGTTGGTGTCAAAACAACCACTGGATTCAAACATTCAGATCACGGGCGTGATCGATGTCTCGGAGGAAGCGGAGAACACACTAGAACGTCTTGGAAATGAGATCGGTGCGATGGAAAACCCCTTGGGATTTTGTTTCATCGATGTTATGCGGTAACTTCTGTATGACTGAAAATATCACTCACGTTTAATCACATCGGTATTATTCTTGTGTTCCACACTTATCTAGGTTCAGAGTGTGTCAAACCAATCATGATACAAAACTCAAATTACAATTAGGTTAACCTGTGACTTGTTTGTGGGTCTGGTGCTGCCAGATTGCCTAAGCCAAAACAGATATTTATCATCTTTACTGATATCTGGGAAACCACAATGCGATAGTTGGCATACTAAAAAAATATAGAGCTTATAGAATAAGATTAGTATGAACCTTGGACACAATCCATCCGTAGTTAAATCGAGAAAATTATTTGCACAGTAGACAATGCATCAATCCTATTGTATAAAATTATTTTTAGCTTACTTGCTTACTGAGGTTACGTATGCAACACATTCTGTTATATGTGGGTTAGGCTAGGAAGACAATTTCATTTTTATTTGAACTTAGTACAGGATCTCGGTTATGAGGGTGAGGATTCAGTTAGCGAGTTTTGCGGAAACGGGAACCCTTATACCAAGAGGGAAGTACAAATAAGAAGGTACGGTGAAGAACCCATCGGGTAATCCTACAAGGTTTATTGCTTTCTCTATCGCCTTCCAGTCTGATCCATGGTCTGTTCGTTGCTAAGCTAGTTTGTGAAATTCTTTCGATGACTCCTAGCGCGTCCTGGTCCTTCCAAAATGCTACTGTACATAATAAAGATTTTTGAAGATCAAAGTCCCATTCGGAGTACAGAGGTTGACCATTTCTGAATACTGAATGCATACGTGTACGAGGACATATCCTCGCGATCAAAATCTTGTCCTTCTGCTGCATATTACCAGTGTTATGGATTCGGTGTTTCAGAGTGACCTGGGTTCCGCGAACACTATGACACCAAAAATAGTGAATGTGTATAACGGATAGCAGAACGGTCTACAGATCACAGTCCGAGAGCCAAGGTGTCATAAGAACGAGTACGTTTCTGTGTAGTTGAGAAAGGAGTAAATAGCAAAATATGTTAGGGAAAATGAATGAAATCAATCAACTGGAGAAAGATAAGTTCGAACAAGCACCAACTTATTTTTCAAGCTCCCCTTTGCCTTTGAAGAATTCAATCTGGAGTCAATCTAGCGAGCAGAATGAACTGTTTTTTCTACTATTTATTAACTAAGCCAGGCAGTCGACAGGAGCCATTGGTCAATAATCAACCACTGTCTGCAATAATCAAGGGTAAGTGGCAGGATTTATTCATCAGCACGACCAGAGCGAAATTGAAGCTCACACCTGCTGATTACAGACGGGCGAGAAAGAGTTTTAAATGATACCGAGAAAATTCGTGTTGAAACGTTCTTCATGGCACGAGGTGGACCGATCTAGGTATCCAACAAAGCAGATGCATCAACATCGCCTTTTATTCTTGAAGAATAACAAAGTAATTCTATCAATTGCCTTGCGGTCCCTCGTCCTAGTCACCCAAACACGTCGATTCACCGTTTTTACACGCTTAACTTTCGGAAAATTAATTGTGCATGCAACTTGGTGTGTCACGTTTGGATGTGGTCATTCAGTTGTTCAGTGACGCCGGGTCCAGTTGATGGGCTAGGATATGGGTTTCAATCCCAGTGTATCTCGGTTGCAAGAGTTACGATTCCCAGTTCGGGGGTTCGTTATCGAATTCCGGCAGGGACGAAAAAACGCACTTCTGACGAAGCAGCTGTTCAGTGGTCTTTTTCAGTCGTCACGTGAATTTCTGTTTTATGCACATGCTATATGTGTTAAAAAAACTTGAGTTGTATGGTGACAGTTATAACAGTGCATAAAGTTATGAATCTCCCGGTTGACAGAGACACAATGGTGTTAAACACATGGTAGATATAGTATATCTTGTGGGTAACGTTCAGTAGGATCTGATTCAAATCGAAGATGTCCCCGTTTCCACCGAATCAAGTATTTTTGTAATGTGGCGGACGAAGTTGATTTTGCTATCATAGTTTTATGTGAACAATCCCA